GGTGCGATAGAATCAAGAAATTGGAAGTTTCGAAAAGGAAAATTTAAGTTTCAGCAGGCCTGACACGGCCACCCGTGTCACCAGACACGGCCACCCGTGTCACCAGACACGACCTGTGTTAAGAGGGAAGCTATAGAGCATGGAGAAACTCAGGGGGCTGACACGGCCACCCGTGTCACCTGACACGGGCTGTGTCAGCAGATGTGATGATTTAATGTTTATGAAGCTTCAGGATGGCCAACACGTCCATCCGTGTCAACTGATATGGGTCGTGTTGGCAGATAGCTGATTTTCAGTATTTTTGTGATTTTTCATTAGTTCTGACCCGGAAGGGCATTTTTCACTTTTTGGACCAAAATCAAGGGTTTTGCACTATTTGAGACAATTTCTACGACAAAAGAAGAGAGATTTTTTTGCACACGGGGAATTTGGAAGATTAGAGATTGGAGCTTATGCAATTGTTGGAGGGAAGAAGACTTTTCATGAGCGGAAGCCATTGAAAATCAAAGTTCACCATAAATTGTAATGTCTATTTCTATTGAATCTAAAATTATTTTATACAATATCATGAGTATCTATACCCCCCAATGCTAGGGGGTGTCCCTGATTTGAAATTGTAATGATGTTGAATTCTTAATTCTAATACAATAGTTTCTTTTCAATTTAATCGTTCAATGTTCTTAGGCTTTTCCTATCTGACAAATAGAGATTGATTCACTGTTAACAATTAGGGCTGGACCACCATTGTTAATGTTTTTGTATGATTAGTATATAGTAGATATCACCTAGGACTAGGGATACCCTATAGTTACCATATAACTCTTGATAAAACAAAAGCTTGACTCCATTAGAAATCTCCAAGGACTTAGGATTTAGGATGAAGGTTCAAAGGTTTTCTCACTAAGGTCTTAGGGAAAATAATCTAAAGGGCTCATAATTGAAGGTTATGAACTTGTTGAAGAAATCAAGAGTCAAGGTTATTACAGGGAAAGTCACACACTTTACCCTAGCATGTTGCTCATAATTGTGAAAAATCCATAATTTACATTCTACTTAGTTTTGTTATTGTTAAGATAAAATTTCCAACCAAACCACAGTTAAGTTAAGTTTTGTTTAATTGAACCATAAATTGAACTCGATACTTGCACGACAGTCCTTGAGATCGACATTCAGGGAATTTCCTTGTTATTACTACAAGAGACAAAATAGTACACTTGCTATTTTGACTATCAAGTTTTTGGCGTCATTGCCAGGGACTGCCAATTTATTAAGTTCAATAGTAGTTTAATTAAAATTTTGTTGCTCTGCAACTAAAATTTTATTTTCTGTGTTTTAAAGTTTTTTGGTATTACTACTTTGCGTCTAACCCTTGTATGCGAGGAAAGTCCTCATCTAAAATTTCTTTTGACGCAGAGATAGAAAGAACCTTTCATGTAAGGCGAAGACAAGCTCAGCTAGCTAGATTGGCCTCCGACGAAGAGCATTCAGTTCATACAGACTCAGGTTCAGAATCACAATCCAAAACAATGGGTGAAAATCCACCACCACCAGAGAGACTTCTTGGGGACTATGAAGGAGCAAAATCTCCAGCAGGTCAGTTGACTATTGTGAATCAACCAGTGAATGTTGCAAACTTTCAGCTACACCCTTAAATAATTCGTCAGCTTGAGAATATATCCTTCACTAGAAAGATCAATGAAGATGCAAATAAGCACTTACGAAGGTTTTTTTTACTATGAGCACTACTTTAAAGATTGAGGGCCATTCAGAAAAAGTGAAGAAATTAAGAATGTTTCCATTCACGCTCTCTAAATATACTGAAGAATGGTTTTATTCATTACCTGCTGGGAGTATTACTACTTGGGAGCAGATGGAGAAAACTTTTCTGGATGAATACTTTCTGGTTTCTGTTTATATTCATAAGAGATATGATATTGTGAATTTTAAGCAGAAAGAAGGAGAGTCCCTAAGTGATGCTTGCAATAGGTTCAAGAGGTTGTTGGTAGCTTGTCCCACTCACAATATGGATCAAACTAAGCAAATGCATATGTTTGTGAGTGACCTCAGAATGAAGACAAAGCAGCTTATTGATACAGTTGTCGGTGGCTCATCCAACTTTAGAACAACCACTGGTGTTAAGAAGATCATTGAAGCCATTGCTGCAAATGAACACCTGGAATTATATGACCGAAGTGTGAGTAAACTAGAGGGAGTGATTGACTTGAAACCTGTAAATCAAGGGGTGAAGATAGAAGATCAAATTTCCATTGAAGTTGAGGAAAAACTAAAGGCTATAAGTTTAGGTACCCAAACTGTATCCCAAGTTCAACCTGCTCAGACTGTCAGTTGTGAGATTTATAGGGGACCACACATTACTGTGCAATGTCTTACAACTCCACAATAAGTTGAAGAGATCAAATTTTTGAGGCAGAATGACCTATATTCGAACACCTATAATCCTGGATGGAAGAATCATCCTAACTTCTCATGGAAAGATCAGCAACAACAACCTGCTCATAAGGAAAGTTGGAGGTTGCTATTGAAATGATGGCTTCCCGTACCTCTCAACTTCAAGAAGAGACAAGGAGCAATCACATAAATATCACAGCTGCAATAAAAATTTGGAAGTTCAAATGGGACAGATTGCATAACAATTATCGTTGAAAGCACAAGGTAATAAGAAAATTCATGAGAATGTGAATGCTTTCAAAACAAGGAGTGAAAAATTTGCTAGAGAAAAAGAAGAAGAGGTAAATTTTGATGACATTATCATAGAAGTAAAGCTGGAAGTGATAGAGAACAAGAAAAAACAAGAAGAAGTGGTATCACCCGCGAAGCTAGTTGAAGAGAAAACTAAACCAGTGATCAAGTTTTCGTATCCATCTCGAGTGGCAAAGGACATGAAAGAGAAAAAGTTTGATAAATTTGTCAAAATGTTTAAAAAGCTGGAGATCAACATATCATTCTTTGAAGCACTCAAGAAAATGCCATTGTAGAATAAATTTATGAAAGAGGTACTATAAAAAAAGAGATCAGCAGAAGATGAACATGTACCCATTGATGAAAAATTGTGTGCAATTACGCCCGATAGGAAAATACTTGTCAAGCAGAAGGATCCTAGATCAATGGAAATACTGTGCACCATAAAAGACAGAACTTTCAAGAGGGTTTTGATTGATTCTAGATCTAGTATGAGTTGAATGCCATTATCTATCTTTAAAAAGATGGGTATTGAGAAGATAAGCAAGAGTGGGACAAGATTGAAATTTGTTGATCATACCACCAAACAATCATATGGGATAGCCGAAGATGTATCAGTGGAAATTGACAATTTTGTTTTTCCAGTTGATTTCCAGATCATGGATATTCTTGAAGATGAAGAGACTCATATCATTATTGGTCGATCATATTTTCTTACTAGTCGGTGCAATTTTGATATCGAGACACATAATCTTACATTAAAATCATTTGATGAAGAGATAACCTTGAAAGTGTTGGAGATCAAGAAGCAGGGTGCAGGTGGAAAGAAAGAACCTTCAGTTGGAATGATCAAGCTTGAAAGAGAAAGTAACAATTAAAAGCAACCCCCCAAAGGAAGTCTCAGGCATAATCTCTCATATGGCATCAATAAAAATTATCAACTTCAGTCAAGAAGTCAAAAAGAAAAAGAAAAAGGAACACCGAGGTGAGAAGATGGAAGCTGGAAGCAATCTAAAGCATAATGTGAGAAGTACTTTTGATCTGAATGAGTTATGGGTTGAGAAAAAGACAAGCAATAAGGTGTGGAAGAGGAAGTACCCCCATAAGGGGATGAACTGTCGAGCCATGTGAAGTTAAATGAAGCGCTTTGAGGGAGGAAATCCACGTGTTTTATTGCTGATGATTTTCTTTGTTTTTAGTTAAGTTTTTTTTTTAGGTTGCGTTTAGGTTTACAAAGTGCCCTATACGGGTGTAATACCCCAAATTTGTCCTACCCTTTAACAAGGATCGTATAGCTTATGCATCATCATATACATACCTTCCATTAGGTTATTTAATATTGCATACATTCATTAATAACGTAACTTGGCAAGGGATCGAGAATCTTTAAGAACTAGGGTTTCAATATTGGTTTTCAGTTGAGATTGCTTTAAGCTAGGGTTTGGTTCCCTCCATCACCTCAAACTACTTTCATTATCAAAATTCATCAAAAGAAAGTGAATTAGGGTTTGTTACTCATCATGTTTGAGCTTGTTGATGTTCAACAATTGAGGTTCATTGGATTTCATGTCAAGGTATTCTACTATACTTCAAGTCCCACCTTTATCAAAGGATTCAAGGCATTAGCTATCTTGTTACTCATCAAGTCAAGATATAGTGGAATTGGATTGAAAAATATAAACCATGGTACAAGAGATGAGTTTGCAGATTCATTGTGATAAAGGCATCATTATTCTTTCACATACTTGTTGCTTGTCATGAATGTTTTATTAAGATTGGAAAATTGAATTGAATATAAGGCTTCATTGAGAAAGAAGATTAATTTGAGGTATTCATTCAAGTTCAAGATTGGATCAATGTTTTCTTTAGTACTAGTTACAATGTTGCAAAGGAATACATCACGTAAGTTTCAAGCCCAATTATCCAAGTCCAAAAATTTATTATTCAAGGCTTCGAAATTCAAAAATATCATTCATCGTTCATCATTCAAATTCTACAACTTCATGTCATCAAATTCAGGATTTTAAGTACAAGCATCTATTCATGGTTCATTTCTTGAAATTCAAGTAGCAAGGACCATAATAATTCAAAAGACAAGTACCCAAAGCTATGCTAGCAGTTCGTATACATAGGCAAAGCAAGATCAGATTATCCATACTTTTACAAGCGGAGCTCTAAGTGATAATTCAAAAGGAAACTACAACTTCATGTCATCAAACTACATTTTCAAATCTCATTTGTTCATATATTCATGTTTCCTCCAATCTTCGAATCCTGCCTCGTGTGCAAAACCCCATGATATGCCTTCACCCTTCCTTCATTCAAGTATATTTCCATGCCCATGCTTCAAAATCATGCTAGGCAGACCACATTTGCAATCCTGCATAAACCAGTTCCTACATCAACACCAACACACATACATTAATGTTCATTCAAAACAGAAAGCAACCTGTAAGCATTCATCATCACAGGCCCTGCATATTCATACCAAATCAATCTAAAACTCAACCTGCACACATTTAAAAAAACCAGTTACGCCAAAACTCAGAGCCAATGTTCCGCAACCAACTCTGCAATTTTCAGAAGATGTTAACCATAAAACCTACATTGATAGCAAAAAGTTCAGAAAATTAACTACCAATAATCAAGCGGCCCCGCATCAGAAAACCCAGAACCAATACAAGTTACCAACAATAAACCATACAACATAATAGAATTTCACTATAACTAACTATAACTAACAAAGTTAGCACCTACTAACTAACTTTAGATCTCCAAACTAACTACTAACAGAATTTTTCAGCTCAGTATATTAGGAAAGGAATTAAATCAGAAAATGGTGGAAATAAAATCAGGCAAGCTCAGACTAAATCCTCACCATCTATTTCTCCTAACAGAATTTCATTAATCTAAGGATGAGATCATTACTACAATAACATATTGTAACAAACTATAAAACAAAAACTCACCAGAATCGATTCATTCTTCACGCTCAGGAGAAGCACCCCACCAAAATACCAGAAATTCTCTGCTCTCTCTCTCCCTTCACAATCCTCAACCAATCTTCGTTTCAAATCTCCCTTATCGCTTTCTTCAACCTTCAACCACCCCCACCTTCAATCTTGACACTCCTCTCTGCAACTCAGAAAAATTCCACTCCACTTCAACTTCTGAATCTGCAACCTTCATTGCAAAAACCACAGATCTACAATCATCTTGTTGCAACGCATCTTCGACAATCAATATCATCAACAAAACTTCTTCTTTCATCATCATCACATTACATGAACAACGAATTCAACTACCATTAAAAATCATCTTTCATCTTCGTCTGCAATCATCACCATCAATTTCACGTTCTTCGCAGCATCTTCAATCTACAACATCACTGCATCATTGATAAAAAATAACGGCCTCGATCCATAATCAACGACAACATTACGTGATAGCAATCCACGGAAACGCAAGAGCAAAGAGAAGAAGCAAGATCTAAAGTAGATGCATACCTGAGTTTATCTTCTAGATTTCTCGCCATTACCGCCATCTAAGAGGCGCCGAACCTTCTCTGGTAGGTAAAAATCTTCAGCCTCTTCCTTTAGCATTTTATTTGTGTTGTTGTCGTTGGTTTGCTTGAACTGCATAGACTAGAGCAGGCGAACGCGCAGTGTCGAAGGAGTATTAGTGAGTTTGAGCGATGAAGAAGAATCGCGGTGAAGACGCGCAGAATCACAGAAGTGGAGAGACGAGAGAGGACGGTTATATGTGGTTTGGCATAGTGGCAATGAAGTCCAATGATCGAGGATGTAAGGTTGAGATAAAGAGGAGGGGAAGGTGGTTAAACGATGAGAAGCTCCACCGCTGTTATGTTGAGTTTGTGAGGGGGGAAGAGGAGCGTGTTCAGAGAAGTTGCATAGTCACAATTTGAAACCATATCCAACTTCTACTATACGACACTGTTTCACTATTTTTGCAAATTTCTTCTTTAATTTTATTATCTTTTTTGTATATATAAATCAGCAATTAAAAAACTAAAAGATATTGAATTTTTGGATATTGATTGGGTGTGGGACTGGACTCATAAGTTCCCTGGGCCTTGTGCTTCTTCTACTATGTGCACTCCCATGGGCCGATGATTGTTCTCTTTGTAAGCCTGATTGTTGTAACAAGAACAACCTTTTGGGCTTGTCTGTAATGGGCCTAGCGCCCAGACTGCATTATCTCCTGACTTCATGTTACACCCCCCTTGAGTTTAATTTTTATATTTCCATTACATTTTCCTTATTTTTTGTTATAGATTGTTGATAAAAAAAATTACAAAATCAATGAGACTTGTTGTTTTTTTAGTGATTAGGAACTAATTCTCTAGTTCTTGGTAGTTTTTTTCCATGATAAAAACAATAAAAAATGGTAGAATATAATAGAATTTTTCTAGGAATTAATTTTTTAGTTTTTTTTTTAGATTTTCCTCACATAAAAAACTAATACTTTTTCTTTTAGTTTTTATTCATATTTTCATACTATTGTGCCTCGTTATTTTTGACGCGTTTGTTCATTGTGCAAGGTACATTTTTTATTCTTTTAAACATGTAACACAACAAGTTGCTATGTGATCGAAACATACGGCTTAAGCTCGCTTCTGATGCGACACGCCTTATTTCTCATCGTCCCGAGTAATTCATATCATATTATATGTTGTCCTGATGCACGTGATATTTTATGATGCTTTGTGCAGGAACTTTTGATTACGCATTGCATTTGCAACACGCCTTTGCTTATTATCTTAGTTGGATATTGTTCCTGACTTTGTTTGTTTTCTTGGTGAAGCTTTCTCGATGTGTACTCCCTGCTTCTCCAGCGCTTTCGTCTTTTTTCGACGATTTGCTTGTTTGTGGTAGTCGTTGCTACTACTTGTATATTTCTCTGCACTTTATCGCATCTCTTTACCGCTCTCTAGATATCATGAGAAGTAGGAACTGTACTGCTTTCCTTGCCATGAGAAGTAAGGTAGAGATGTATGAGGGGGATCTCCATTGTTGATCATGTCAGGAGCCCCTCTGGTTTATTTAAAGACCCGTTTAGGGCAATTCCGCATTGTGTGCTTTCTGTGTGTTATTTGTGTTTGTTTAAAACCTTAACTTTGAAGTAGGTATTCCGCACGTGTATTTACATTTGTGCTTGTATAGCGGGATGATGGTTTTATGTCCTTTTATGGCAACCATTCCTAAGTCCTCATGGGAAGCCAAGTGGAAAGGGTTAGCAATCAACCTCTACCAGTTTTCGTCCGTGTCGTTCCTATGCTCGCTTTTTGCAAGTTTTGAGCTCCGAACATGTTCCCAATATCATGTGTATCGAGTCGTCAAGTAGAAGAGGGTTTTGCAATCAAACTGCCACACTTTATCAGTAGTTTGCATTGGCCGATGTTGACACTTCGTGATTGTTCATATTACCTTTTGTTGCCTACCTCAATCTTCTATATCTTGGTTAGATGTCCAGTCGCTTTGGACATCACATTGTTGTTTTACATACTCTTCTCACTTGTTTGTCTCGGGTGATACGCTCCCTTTGGCTAAAGCACTTCACTTCTTTTCCTTACCATTTTATGTGTGTACTTCCTCGAGCTTGCTTGTTTTACCCTTGTACATACCATGTTCCCTTAGGATGTGCTTGTTCCATTCAGATGCAAGTTAGACCTTAGGTTGCAAACCACACATGCTAACATTAGGTAGACATTTCCCTTTTTGTTAATCCAAACCTTAGGACCACCATTGTATGATAACACTAGGATTAAAATAGGCTAGTCTCCCGTAGACTCTTTTCTTTCCCTTTTTGCATATGCATTTAAAACTAAAACTCTTCTTTTCTTAGCAAATCATAAAACACTCTCTAATAACAAAAAAAAAACCTTTTTCAAGGCAAAAAAACACAAACCAATCAAATGTGGCATCTTTCCTTGAGGGCGTAACTCAAAACTATTTTTCAAATAAGGACATGTTAGTTTACTTTTGTGCCAACAAGTGAGTCTCCAAAGGTCAAGTTGCGGCAGAAGGCTGAATTAACATCATTCATAAAAAATACAAAATAAACAAAAACATGTGAGTCGAACTACGATAACTCGGATTCCTCAAAAAGTATACGTAGGCATTGGGGTAGGGCCCGAGAGAGCACAACTTTATTTTCCCTACATTATTTTCTCTTTCTTTTGCATGCGTTCTTCCTTAGCAGTAAAAAGTAAGCATATATTAGACACACCCATAAGACAGATAACAAGAGTGGATACCGTAGAGTACTACGGGTGTGTGGGGTGCTAATTCCTTCCCCTCACATAACATACTCCCTTACTCGATCTCTCGGTCATAAGACCGTGACTTCTCCCTTCTTAGGTTTTATCAATGTTTACCTTTTCCTTCATGTGGGATAAAAGGCGTTCGATGAAGACTTCATTGTTTGATGATTTTCAGTCGGTTTTTTCAACAGGGAAGAGGAGGCGAAATTTGAGCAAGCATCAAGGAAGGAAGCAGTTATACGATGGGCGAACTGACTTTTGATTTTGCATTTTATCGCAAATGTTGCGGATAGCAAGAGTCGTCACTGACTTTTCTTTTATCCAATAAAGGAAAGGGTGAAAAGAACAAGAAAGACCTTTTGAGAATTTTCTAAGTAAGGGGGATTGGTTGTGAAAAGGGAAGGTGTTAGCACCCTTTTCTTTTATAGTCATCTACGGGCTCTTAATCGCTAGCTCACTTTTTTGAAATGCTTTGTGTTTGTGTATGTTTGAAAATATTTTGAAAATGCCTAAGTACAGAAATTTTGTAATGATTCTCGTATCTTGAGAATGTATACAAAATGTTTGTTTTGAAAATATTTATTAAAAGAAAATGTTGTTTTTGAAAGTGTGAGGTGTGAAAATTGTTTTAGTTTGTAAGCAAGCAATTACGAGCGTTCTACCTACTCAAAAAGTATTTGTTCTTTTCCTCCTCCTTTAGATAATGCTACCCTTATATTAGTTAGTAGGAAGTCTTATCGTTGGATGTGAGGGACAGACGCATGTCATCGTACAGCCATATAAGGCAACTTGTAGGATGTTTTAGCAATTTTTGTAAGGGACTAAGATCGTTTACAGAAGGCAGCATCGAAGGGTCATTTAGGGACTACGATCTTTTAACCGAGGGTCTTTGCTAAAGCGTCCCATGCTCGAGGGACATGACTGTTTTATCTGAAGGCAACAAGCGAGGTCACCCTAGAGGTGCGCGTGTGCAAAGTGTTTTGATTTCAATTAATTTATCTTGGATTTATGGTTATCTAGTATTTTGTTTCAGATCTTGCCATACAATCATATTAAACTAACAATAATAAGGAAAGCAATAAATTATGGAAATTAAATATCCTACGCTATTACAAAGCTTCGGGAATGGGGGTACAAATTTATAAATGGGGATGACATAAGAAATAAACACCCAGGCTATGATTAAATCACACAATACAAGTCCAAATTATTAAATAATTATTTAAGTTAAAACTCTTCTCATTTGATAAAATTAATTAATAATTTAATTAATAGTGTCAAACAAAAATTATTTTAAAACTAATAATTATTTAAAACATATTGATCCTTTTTTTTTAATATAAGCTAAAATATTAAATAAAACAAAATGAGTAAAAATAATCAAATAAGATAAAAGGGTAGAAATGGGCATGTTTGAAGCAATCTGGAGGTGCTGAATTAATTCATCAAAAGCCCAAATAAAGGGCATCTTTTGGATCCTGTGTGGGAGGCTCTAGAGGGTCTACCATGGACATGCAAATCTGGAACGCTGATTGAGGTTGGTGATGTTATGATGATAATCTGACAGCGGGTAGGCAATGATGCACGGTATGAAGGATGGAGCGTCGTATACAGAATCAGGCAGGATGGACAACTTGGGCGGTGACAATTTTCACTGCTGGATTAGGCAGTAATCACCATTGATTAACAATTAAAACAAAATAATATGTTAAACTTAATCACCTTCCAAAAACTTCCTCTCTTTAACTCGTTAATCTAACCTCTCTTCCTAATGTCTCTCTCTCTCTCTCTATTATATTCAACAAGGAACAACCAAATCAAAAATAAAATCCAGAAAGGAAGATCGAACACGGTGGCGAGTATGAATACAAGGTGTCTCATATGAAGATTGATGATGGCACTTATGAACTCCAGTGCGGTGATGATGAACATCGCGGTGCCGCCTTCGTGGATGGCCCCGATTCTCATATTTTTTAAATATTCTGAATCATCTTTCTCTACTCATCTCTAATCTATGGTTTTATTTTGCAGAAATTAAATGATAAAACCTAGATCTAAAAGGGGATTTTTGAAACCCTAGTTCTCAGATGCAACAAGATTCAATGATTATGATGAGAGATACAACAATAAGAAATGAAAATGAAGGGAAAGGAGAAGGAATCTGGTTTGTGGTGTCTGAATCTGTGAGTGTGTATATCAACCTCTTGAGGTTTCTGGTGAGATCTTTCTGACTTCCTTTGAACTCATATATTTGACTTGTCTCTCTTTGTTTTTCGATTTCTTAAGGGATCTTGAGCAAAGGAAAATGATGAGTATAAGCTTAGGGTTTATTGTGGCTGTCTCTGTGTGAACAGTTGCCTCCCTTTCTTTACAATTTTCAGAAGGGTTTTTCATGTAAGGAATATGATGAACACAGTTTTTAGGGTTTGTGTTTGCCTACGCAGCTTCTATATGAACAATGCTCTTTTTTTTATTTCAGTGTAATGATTTATTAAATAGTGTGATGGAATTAGGGTTTTACTGTGTTGGCTGGACTCTCTGGTTTGTTGTGATAACAGGCTTGCTTGATTGTTTTTGTGTTTTGGCTTAGCAAATTAACATTTGTTTGATCTGACTTGTGATAACAGGCCTCTAACAAAAAT